GTAGACATCTCTGATTGATTTCAATGCACGTTGTGAGAGCAGAATTTGGCCCTTAATTAGGATATCAAAGCAGCAAGGATATTTTTCCTCCTACTGTTGAGATTAAGACATTTTGCCTACCATGAAGATCACATGCAGAAAAGTAGAGGAAGAGCTTTACATTGCACTGTTTGGATCAAATTCTCCTTTCAGTTATATCTACGCAAGCCAGTTGACCTCAGTGGAGTTGCATTCATGTAAATGAAAGGAGAATATGGACTGTCTTGTGTGGGTCACAAAAGGTGCACATGAAGCACATCACAGTAGCTAGTGGCCTACTCAATGAACAGAGGTGGATAGAGCAATAGCAAAGGAATAACACAGGTAGTACAGGATTCACATGTGAAACTGCTGGCAACTATGGACAGCACAGTACATAAACTAACACACCGGTAGCTGAGATTCCACAACCTGTGATATTTATGTTGCAGCTATCCCATCACAGCCAACATCATGATACAACCAGGAAACAGTGCCTTGCAGCCTTCAGTTGTCTGCTTTGTTAGTTCTTACCAACCCCTCTATGACATTGCAATGGAAGGAAGAACGTAGATTTCCCCATTTCCTTGCCAGCAACTCGTCTTGTCACAATCATCTTACTCAGTCCCCCTAAGAAGGACAGAGATCCCTTTCCTTTCAGAAGGCCCATCAGTAATTTATTTGATTAAGAGCCAAAGCCCAGTTCAACGAGATTAAGCAGAAGTACTTCTTGGTGGTTTACAAAAGAGAAAGAAAAGTGAAAATAAAAGTTAATTTAAAATTCCTGAACTTGAGATAAACACCCTGTAAATTAGTAACATACATTTAACTTAACTTTAACTTAAATAGGGCCAGATTCTGATACAATTAAGAGCCAAAGCCCAGTTTAGTGAGATTAAGCAGAAGTATTTCTTGGTGGTTTACAAAAGAGAAAGAAAACCGAAAATAAAAGTTAATTAAAAATTCCCAAACTTGAGATAAACACCCTGTAAATTAGTAACATAAATTTAACTTACTTAAATAGGGCCAGATTCTGATACAATTGACCATACATATCTAATATTAGAGAGGAAAGATAGTCTTTTGGTTAAGGCACTCGACTAGGGCCAGGAAATCTTGGTTAACTTCCCAGCTCTGCTACAGAATTCCTGTGTTAACTTAGGCAAGTCATTAAGTCTCTCTGTGCCTCAGTTCCCTATCTATAAAATGGGGAAGAGAACAGCCTTGTATTTGTAATTTCCCCTAGAATTATACAATTACTTTTCTATCGACGAAGACTGCATGCCATGCCTTGCATAACTGAGCTAACTATAATGTACATTTTTCTCCAGTGGTTGCAGTTTGCACTAATGAACAGCACATTTCCTATTGCACGCCACTCCACCCACACAAAATTTCAGCTTTTAGCTATTTTGAATAACAAATAGTAAACTTTATTTAAAAATGGGCCATAGTTGTAGTGTTTGGGGCAACTGTTGTAGCATCTTATAATGTTTGTTAAGGGCTACTGTGAAACTGGTTTGAAACAATCAGAAGATATTGATTTTCAGGTTTTAAGATTTTACACTAGCTTCTCTTCAAAGTAGTGTGGCCCAGCAGATAGTACAATAGACTGAGATTCATCATCCGTGGGTTCTATTCCTTGCTCTATCATTGGATGACCTGGGGTAAGTGCCTTCACATCCCTGTGCTTTCAATCCCCATCTGTAAAATGGGGATAATACTTTCTGTCTCAGAGTGCAAGCTTTGGGACAGAGATTGTCTCTTACTTTGTGTTTGTACTGAGCCTAGCACAATAGGGACTCAACCTCAGTTAGAGCTTTAGGTATAATATTAATAATTTGACCACAATTAGGACAGTCTTTGTGGTCTCCAAAACAACAGTATTATTCCCTGTCAAAAGAGTAGTTCTGAAAGAAAAACCATGAGAATTATTAAGTTTGTGTTTATTTTATACATCAGCCAAAGGGAAGGGCATGTGTTACAGAAAAATTTTAAACACAGCAAAGATATCAAAGCTTTTAATATGCAGTTGCTACTGTGCTTTTCAACTGCACCTGATAAAAGGACTATCCTTCATTGTTTGACTCAAATTTATTTCTAACCCACCTGCATCCGACAAAGTGGGTATTCACCCACAAAAGCTTATGCTCCAATACGTCTGTTAGTCTATAAGGTGCCACAGGACTCTTTGCCGCTTTTACATCATAATAATGTCAGCAACAATACAATTAACTAAGCTGATGTTATCACTTCATTATAGTGAATTGCTGACTTTATAAATTCTCAGTTATAAACATGTGGCTGTAGATAAACATATACATTCTCAAGAAATTAATCCCACTCAATTTTAAGCTTCCTCCTCTAAATTTCTATATTTTGGGTCTCTCTTATAGTTGTGTGTGTATTGGTAGATGAAGAAATATATGTCATTAGCATTGTGAAAGGATAGCCATCTCAAGTCTCTTTTATAGGCTTCTCTCCTTCCTCAGGCTTCTAGACATTTTGCTGCTTAGACCTTTATTCTGTACCTGGCCTTTTGAAGAATTACATGTAGCTATGAGGCTTTTTTGGGAGTCTAATTATAACACCATCTTGCTGTCTTCAGCCCCATTAACACTTTTAGCCTTCACCTCTCAAGAATGAGCCACACACTCTAATTTTGTTAATCTGTATTTTTGGTTTTTGGCGATGCTGGGGCATCCAAGCAGGTGTTATCACTACAGATGTCTCCAGTTTAGACAAGACCTCAGGGAGGTTGCCTTTGGATGCCTCCAGCATTCCAACAATGGGCCTGTTAGCTGGAGTTTTGGCTGTCACCCGTCCATGAGTTGCTCGGGTAGGTTCAGTTTTGATGGGCTAGATCAGGGGTTGGCAACTTATGGCACACGTGCCAAAGACGGCACGTGAGCCAATTTTTAATGGCAGGCTACTGCCTGCCGGGGACAGCAGCATGCCATTAAAAATCGTGCCCGGCCCAGCCCGCTCTTCCCCGCCTCCCGTTCACCGCTCTCTCCTTGCAGGGCAGGCAAGCTTCCCCCTCCCCCTGCCTCTTCCCTCAGCGTGCTGGGTTTCTGCCCCTCCTTCTCTCCCTCCCTGCTGCCGATCAGCTGACAGCCCTTGCTATGGAGGGAGAGAGGGAAAGCGGAGCTGCAGCACGCTCTCTCCTCCGGGGACCTTGAGGAAGGGGGTGGAATCGGCATATCCCCTCCAGCCCCCTGCCGTGAGCCGCTCAGGCAGGGGGCTGGGAGCACCCCCACGACCCCAGCCCACACCCCCAGCCCTCTGCCCTGACCCCTGCACCCCCCTCAAACACCCTAGCCCTCTGCCTTGACCCCTGAACCTGCCTCACACACACCCAGCCCTCTGCCCTGACCCCTGCACCCCTCACACACCCTAGCCCCGTGCCCTGACCCCTGCACCCCCCCACATACCCAGCCCCCCCACACCCCATGCCCTGAGTCTTGCACCCCCCACATTCCCACCCCCACCCTGAGCACCAAACGGGAGCTCCTGCACACACACACACCCACATTCCCACCTGCACGCCTCGCACCAAATGGGAGCTTCCCAGGTAAGTGCTCCACACCCAAACTTCCTGCCCCAACCCTGAGCCCCCTCCCTCATTCTAGCTCCTGGCCAGATCCTGCACCCCAACCCCCAGCCTGCTCCTTCACCCCCAGTGAAGTGGCGCACTCCCACCCTCATCTCAGTGCAGAGAGAGGACGAGAATGGCTAGAACCAGGGAGAAGGTAGGTACCTACTCTATGTGGAAAGGGCCAGGACTCCAGACCGGCAGCGGGGCTGAGTGGGGCCGGCAGCTGAGACCCTGGCTGGCAGGAGCCGGTGGATGGACCCCCAGACCGGCAGCTGGCTCCGCTCAGCCCACTGCCGGTCTGGAGTTCTGGCTGCCGGCCCCTTGCCAGCCGGGGTCCCAGCCCCAGGCCCCGCTCAGCCCGCTGCCAGCCTAGGTGAACGGAACCCCAGGCTGGCAGCGGGCTGAGCGGGCCGGCGGCGTAAGATCAGCATTTTGATTTAATTTTAAATGAAGCTTCTTAAACATTTTGAAAACCTTGTTTACAAACGACAATAGTTTAGTTATATAATACATAGACTTACAGCGAGAGACCTTCTAAAAAACGTGAAAATGAATTATTGGCACACGAAACCTTACATGAGAGGGAATAAATGAAGAGGCGGCACACCACTTCTGAAAGGTGGCCGACCTCTGGGCTAGCTCCTCCCTCCCACAAGCATTGTCTGCAGAGTGGCACCACCCCTGAAGTAACGTTTGTGGCCTGAGAGATATTATAGGGGTCACTGCTGCTGCCTGATAAGTAATTGCTGACTCTGAGCCCTCACTTCATCGCACTCCTTTGCCAAGACGAGCCCTAGCCATGCTGCGAAGGACCCATTTAGCTCATCCCACAACCCCGCAGAGGTGGCCCCCAATGCCTCGGCGGGTCGCTGGGGAAGCAGCATGAGGGGCTGATTGTGAAGACACCACGCAACCCCCTCCAACCCCCACCCAAATGATATCTGGGGGTCACCCTCCATTGAAGGGGCTGCTCAGCGGACTTCTCCATGGGGTCGTGTATAACTGGAGGGGTTGCCGGTGCCCCCTGCTACCCCTGGGCTGAGGTGGGGACTGGAGTGGGGAAGGCAAATCAAACCACGAACCCCTTCTCCCACCCCCCGACTTCCCTTGCAACTCGGGCCCCATGCCGCCCGCCCGTCGGGCCCAGCCCATGGCCCCACCTCCCTGCTGTGTGTGTTTGTGGGGGGGGGGGGGGGGAGAGCATCGCTCCACGCGGGAGCGGCGCGGGTTAAGCAGCAGTGGCGAGGAGGTTACCGCTGCCGCCGCCGCCGCCGCTCGGAGCCGAGCTGCCGCATCCTCCCGCCGGCCCCGCGCTGCATGACATCACCAGCGCCAGAGCCCATTCGCTGCGGGTCGGACTCCTCTCCCCAGCCCGCCTTGCCCGCGCAGCCAGCCTGCTCCTCCCCCCGCTCCCCCTGCCCCCGCAGCCCACCGCACCCCGGCCGGCACCCGCCGCCTCCTGCTCCGGGGCGTGTGGCCGCGTGGGGGCTGCTGCTGCCGCGGCTGCTGCTGAGCCTGCGTCTCCTCTCTCCAGGCTGAGCCCTCCCCGGGGCCCTTGCCCACCTGGCCCGCCCCTGGCAGGAAGGAGGATGGCGGAGAGTGAAGCCGAGACCCCCAGCACCCCCGGGGAGTTTGAGAGCAAATACTTTGAATACAATGGAGTGCGGCTCCCTCCCTTCTGCCGGGGGAAGATGGAGGAGATCGCCAATTTCCCGGTGAGGGGCAGTGATGTCTGGATTGTCACCTATCCCAAATCAGGTACAGATTCATTCTCTCCGAGCCGGGGGGCCGCGGCCTTTTCCTCCCCGCCCAGGCACCGGCTGCCCCTGGGGTTTGCCTCTTTCCCAGCTGAGCCCCGGGGCTTGGGTTTTGAACAAGTTCCAGGCTCTGTCTCCCTCCCCATGGCTGCTTTACCTCGGTACCATACGGGGGATAGCGCCGCCGGAGCGGCTGGGCTGAGTGCTGCTGGGCTTATGTCTGTACAGTCGCAGTCTATGTGGCAATGTCTGCACAGCACTTTGGAAAGCGTACAGAGCAACAGCCGTGCTATTTTATGTCGGGGTCGCCTCTCCTTAGCCGGGTCTGGATCGCAGGACCTAGGCACACATACACATAACGTGCGTGGCTTGTAGTGAATTTTACATTGTCAAAGTGTTGCCCAAACTTATGCAACAAAACCGAAATGAGATACATGGCCTTATAAACCGAATTGTTTTCACGGTGGCAATGGGGTTCAGTCTCCCTAGTAGATACAAGAATTTGCTTCAGGATAGGACCTTTTGTACTCCGGGGTCTGAAAGAGCTTTGGAAAGCAATACATTAGATACGGGGATGATGCATTGCCCTCCATTCAAACGTTCATTGACATCCATCAAAACCCATTGAAGTTAAGGGGGAGTTCTGGGGCCAGGGCACTTTACTACGGGGTTGGGCTGGGTGCGTGGGGAATATAGATCCCTTTCTTAGGGATTTTCGACTGCATAAAAAATAAAGGGCCAGTTGCTGCTGCTGCTACCCTTGTTTTGGAGCACCTTTCTCCCTTGACTCCATCTGGACTGCTGAAGGAGGAAGGTACTAGTCCGTGAGAGTAACTTTGTCATAATCTGGCCCAAGATAAATATATAAAGGCAGGATAGATATATGTTGAAGCAGGTGTAGTGACAGCACTCCACCCCCCACCCCCCCATTACCGTCTCTAAGGAAAAGGAAAGCCAGAGTGTTCAGTGAGGACATGTGCTTGGAACAGTTAAATAGAATAAGAAGAAATGCCCCTATTAATATAAGTATGTGTTTCTGCAGTAAACAGTTTGAGCTGATTAGTGTAGTATCTATGCTTTTAACACCATATTATTTTATTTATTATTCTCTCCATTTTCAAACAAGTTCTTAGACTGAATTAATATGGATACAGTGCTGCCGCCAAAGAGGCAGACAATATGGTAGCTTCATAACCCACCTGATAAAACTGGAAACAAACAGAGATGTATGGACTCTTTCTTTTTAAACACATTGTTGAATGACTTTCCCCCTGGTATTAAGATGATCTCTTTTTGGAAAATTCAAAGTCCATTGTACTGAGATAACAGATGTTAGCTCTCTCAGTACAATGGCAAAATCAAGTTGTTTGACATCATGGGTAAAAAGATTACTTACTGACTCCTTTCATTTGACTGTATATTTTATCAAAGTGTTATATGCTTCTCCAGTTTCTCTTGATGTACCAGTGTGAAAGTGCACAGTCTTCCATGATGAAAGATCCTGTTATTGTCCACTGGAGTTTTAAATACTTATTGCAGCTGCTGTTTCTTTATACTTAACTAATAATGATGATGTTAATGATTCTGGTCAGTGTTTGGCAGTTGTCTGCAGTGTGATGGGTGGACCAAAAATGCTAGGATTAGAACCTGATAGCTATTGCTTTTTTCAGCTGTCTCTCTAAAAATCTATGACATGCAGAAAGCACTAAAAGTTCTATTTTATTATTTCAGTGTACTGAGGTTTCAGTTGTGTATTGTGTTACTGTTCTTGAATATAAAGCAGTTTGTTAGAGAACCCCATATTGGTTTATATTGGTGAGCCATAAAATATGCCTTACTACCCTGTGTGTCCTCCATATTGCACATCAGAACAATATGTGTCAAGAGGCAACTGCTTAGTTCCCATAACTTTACAACCATTGAATCATAAGTACTTATGAATAGTTACCCAACTCACAATTATCGTTATTGTTGTAGTAGTAGTCATATTATAAATGCACAGAGGCCACAGTGAAATCGGGGCCCCATTTTGCTAAGTACTATATATATATACACACATTGTAATAATGGTGCCCTCGCTCTTAGGCAGTGTGTTTCACCTTCAGATCTCAAAGCACTTTACAAAGGAGATCAGTATCATTATCCTCATTTTACAGATTGGGAAGCTGAGGCACGGAGCGGTGAAGGAATTGGAATTGCTCATTTATGAGTATAAATTCGATTTCGTTGATATAACTGAAACCTGGTGGGATGATTCCCATGATTGGAATGTTAAAATCAATGGTTATAACCTATTTAGGAAGCACTTAGTGGGCAAAAGGGGAGGGGGAATGGCATTCTTTGTCAACAGGGCATTACCTGTTTCCGAGTAACCAATAATTCAGAAGAAAATGATCTTGAATGCTTATTGATCAATGTCCTAACAGATAAAGCATAAGAGTATTAACTGGTGTCTGCTACAGACCTCCAAATCACACTAGGGAATACGATGACTGTCTCCTAATGTACCTATCTATAAGATTTAGGGGAAAAAGCTACATGATCATGGGGGCCTTCCATCTGAATGACATAAACTGGAGATCTCATGCTGCCAGTACTAAAACATCCTTGGAATTTCTAAATATTATAAATGGCAATTTTCTAACTCAAAAAGTGTTTTGTCCAACACAGGGAAATTCTGTATTAGATCTCATCTTGGTAGATAAAGAGGAACAGATCACAGAACTAAAAATTAATGATAACTTAGGTAGAAGTGATCATGATTTGATCACATTTAAAATGTACAGGCAGAGTAAAGTCCAAACCAGAAATATATATATATATATATATATATATATACTTGTGGCTTTAACATGGTGAATTTCACAAAGCTGAAAACAATTATGAGCCAAATCAGCTGTGGAGAAGAAATAATCAGAAAAATGTGAATGGTAATTGGAAGTTGTTTAAGAACACTTTATTAGGTGTCCAAAAAGCCACAAACCCACAACTGAGGAAGAAGGCTGTACAGGTTAAAAAATTCACCTGGTTTTGCAAGGGAAGTGAAGGTAGCTAGAAAAAATGATAAACTTTCCCTTTCTTCCATTTGTTCTTGTTGTATGTGTGTGTGTATATATATATATAGTAGAAAATTGGTAAGGGATGCAAAGGGACACAGAGAAATTCATGGCCAGCACTGTTAAGGACAATAGGAAGGAGCTTGTAAAGTATATTAGGAACAAAAAGAATCCTAGCTGTGGTATTGGTCCATTACTAGATGGAAATAGTAGAATTTGAGTTATAATGCAGAAAAGGCAGAAGTGTTCAAGAAATATTTCTGTTCTGTATTTGGAAAAAACAGATAATGTAATCATATTGTATGATGAGTACATTCTTTTCATTCTACTGGTATCTCAGGAGCACATTATGCAGCAGCTTCTACAGTTAGGCATTTTTAAATTAGCAGTTCTGGATAACTTGCATCCAAGAGTTTTATAAGAGGTGGCTGAGGAGCTCTTGGCCAAAAGGGCTAATGAAATCCTTGGATGCATAAACAGGGCAATTTTGAGTAGGAGTTGTGAGGTTGTTTTACCTCCTGTGACCACTACAGGAATACTGCGTCTAGTTCTGGTGTCCACAATTCAAGAAGGAAGCAGAAAAATTGGAGAGGGTTCAGAGAAGAGCCACAAGAATGATTAAAGAAATAGAAAACATGCATTATAGTGATAAATTCAAGGAGCTCAATCTATTTAGCTTAACAAAGAGAAGGTTAAAGGGTGACTTGATTAAAGTCTGTAAGAACCTACATGGGGAACAAATATTTAATTATGGGCTCTTCAGTCTAGCAGAGAAAGGTATAACACAATCCAATGGCTGGACAAATTCAGACTGGAAATAAGGCATACATTTTTAACAGTGAGAGTAATTAATTATAGGCTCAATTTACCAAGGGTCATGGTGGATTCTCCATCACTGACAATTTTAAACTGAAGATTGGATGTTTTTCTAAAATATCTGCCTTAGGAATTATTTTGGGGGAAGTTCTATGGCTTGTGTAATGCAGGAGGTCAGACTAGATGATCACAGTGGTCCCTTCTGGCATTGGAATCTATGCATCCATGAAAAAGTGACTTGCTCAAACTTACCCAGAAGCAGAAATGGGGCTAGAACCCAGTTCTTCTGAGTTCCAGTCCACAATATTACCTTCCCTCTTGCAATAAAAAAACATTGATAAGGACCTCACTGGTAACTACAGCTAGTCAGACTTTTTAAGTAAAAAATGTAGCCTTTAAAAATAAAGCAATTTCACACAAAATATTACAGTGTCAAAATTTTTCATGAAAAATGTCATTTTCAGACTTTTTTTCAAAATCTTATTTATTTATCCATTTATTTATTGTGAAAATAGGTTTTTATTGTTTGACCAGGTCTAGTGGTAATCACTCAAAAGAGAAAATAAACAACAACTGAATTAGTCAAGTGACAGAGGTCAGTGCTTCTATCAGTTATACTTCCACAGTCCCACGCTGCAGTCAAATGACAGAAGGATCTATCCTAGTTATTCCTCGGATGGCTGTTGATTTGGCCAAGAAAAGAAACAAATGGCTACAAATCCATATTTCCTATGAGGGCTGTGCTGTGTGACTATGCATAATGGTAGACCAAAAAATTATTTAACTTGTACAGAGACAATTTCACCTCACACAGGCTGGCTAATACAATACTACTGAACCTGTGTTGGTGAGAGTGTTTGGTAGTGGGTACATATATTGGGGGTGACCCAAGATAAAGGATGCTGTAACATAGTGGAAAATTTAATATGTCATTGGTCCTGCTGGGAGTAATGAAATAAACTTAAGAGAAAAAGATCCTACTTTAATGTGATTGCTACTGATAGCAGCCTAAATAAATATACTCATTATATCCCTAATTAATCCTAACATCTGCCTCCAATAAATGACTTAACAAAGTTTGGGAATGCCTGATCTTGGAAAAACTCATGCATGCAACCCAAAAGACATA